ATCTCATCCCTCCACCTCTCCATCTCATCCCTCCACCTCTCTATCTGATTTCTTTGCCTATCACTCTCACATTTCTCGATGTATTTAGACTATTTAGGACACACACACACACACACACACACACACACACACGTGGTGGAGATGTAGATGATACAAAGTATTGCAGCCTTCATTGCCATGGCTTTATGAAGCATAGGTACTTACCCACAAGATGTGTGCGCTCTATAACCGTCCCATCCTCACACTGCTCTGTTGATGGCAGCTACAAGGAGATTATAAAACATCAATACAGGAAATATACAGCACATCTGCCAACAAAGCCACAGAAGATCCGCGCCCATCAGAAATATTAGAAGCTGCCCAATTAAAAGACAACTCAGACCTGAAAACTCAGAGTACGTGACCCTCACCTGGTACACAGTGATATGGCCATCCTTGTCGGCTGCCATGCGTTCCAGGCACAGCTTTGACATAGCGACAGGGTCGGCCTCTATACCCGCCGGCACCGGGAAAGGGTTGGCATATTTGAACTTGGGGAACCAGTACATTAACCTGCGGTACTTCTTCACAGGATGGCTAAGCTTCCCAAATGTTTGCGTCAGCAGGAAGATGGTGTTCTTGTCAGGAACAACACCTAGAGAGAAGAGACAGCTTGTTAATGCCGGATCAAAGGGACCAATCGGAGTGCAGCTGCCATTTCTCTACTTCAGAAAATAATGACTGGTCACTACAGGTCAGACATCTTACTGTCCTCTACCCCCTGTCTGCGTCACCATGTGGTGGGGGGGACAGACTCCATGTCACATAGCTCCTCCTGTCTGTGTCACCCTGTGGTGGGAGGGACAGACTCCATGTCACATAGCTCCTCCTGTGTCACCCTGTGGTGGAGGGACAGACTCCATGTCACATAGCTCCTCCTGTCTGTGTCACCCTGTGGTGGGGGGGACAGACTCCATGTCACATAGCTCCCCCTGTCTGTGTCACCCTGTGGTGGGGGGGACAGACTCCATGTCACATAGCTCCCCCTGTCTGCGTCACCCTGTGGTGGGGGGAACAGACTCCATGTCACATACCCCCCCCTGCCTGTGTCCCCCTGTGGTGGGGGGACAGACTCCATGTCACATAGCTCCTCCTGTCTGTGTCACCCTGTGGTGGGGGGGACATACTCCATGTCACATAGCTCCTCCTGTCTGCGTCACCATGTGGTGGGGGGGGGGGCAGACTCCATGTCACATAGCTCCCCTTCACTGTGTCACCCTGTGGCTGGAGGGACAGACTCCATGTCACATAGCTCCTCCTGTCTGTGTCACCCTGTGGTGGGAGGGACAGACTCCATGTCACATAGCTCCCCCTGTCTGTGTCACCCTGTGGTGGGAGGACAGACTCCATGTCACATAGCTCCTCCTGTCTGCGTCACCCTATAGTGGGACGGACAGACTCCATGTCACATAGCTCCCCCTGTCTGTGTCACCCTGTGGTGGGGGGACAGACTCCATGTCACATAGCTCCCCGTCTGCGTCACCCTGTGGTGGGGGGGATAGACTCTATGTCACATAGCTCCCCCTGTCTGTGTCACCCTGTGGTGGGAGGGACAGACTCCATGTCACATAGCTCCTCCTGTCTGTGTCACCCTGTGGTGGGACGGACAGACTCCATGTCACATAGCTCCTCCTGTCTGTGTCACCCTGTGGTGGGGGGACAGACTCCATGTCACATAGCTCCCCCTGTCTGTGTCACCCTGTGGTGGGAGGGACAGACTCCATGTCACATAGCTCCTCCTGTCTGTGTCACTCTGGCCATCACAATGAAAACACTAGACACATAGCTCCCCCTGTCTGTGTTCCCCTGTGGTGGGAGGGACAGACTCCATGTCACATAGCTCCTCCTGTCTGTGTCACTCTGGCCATCACAATGAAAACACTACACACAACATTACCGTATGTCTCCATCTGATCCAGCACCTTGATGGCGCACTCTTGTTGCCGGGGATAATGGTTGAACATGGTTTGGATGAAATTTCGGTGAACAAAGACCTCTTTGGGAAACACATCGAGGATTTTGTTGTAAACCTGCAGGTCTTTCTCCACCCCAAATTCTGGCATCCATCTAAGAGCAGCCTCGATCATCTCCACGTGTCCTCTCCTCCGGACATCCCGGCCACAGAACAGGTTCAGCACCTTGACAAACGAGTTCTTGTCCTTCTGTTGTTGGGAAAAGTGCTCCTCAAAGGGAGTTACAGCTTTGGGGGTATCATTAGCCTTAGGTGGGGCAGGTGTGAACGATGAGTGGACCATACGCACGAGTTTAACCTGCAGGATGGGAAACCAAACGCATTTAAATTGAATTGTATGTCAACCTTTCTGAGGGGCAAAAAAAAACCCATAATACAACCACAACTGGGAAATGGCCCATTCACCAAATCGCCTCATTCACCTATCCTGGAGTGTTTCTGTTCTGTGTCAAATGTTCTGTCACCTTGTTTTTTTGCTATATACATTTAAAAAACATCAATTTAATAAAAAATATATATATATAATTGACTGGTCATGTTTTTAAGCCCTTGTTTCTATAAAAAGTTTACACTTTAAGTGCAACTAAATCAAAATATTTTTATAGTATTGGAGGGAGTGGAGAGGGATTAGGACCCCTGTTAGGTTTTTATTGCTGTCTGTGTCCCCGTTAGGTAGATCCACCCTCTCTATTTGTCCTGGTGACATATCACAGAAATAAAAGAAAATCCCAAATTTTGGATTGTCACCAGAACAGGAATTGATGGGAAATCTCCCAATGAGGACACTAGTTGTGGTGACCCCGCTAAGCACCAGGGATTTCCTTCACTTCCTGTTGTGGCCAGGAAGCAAAGGAAATCTCCCCAATGGTACACAGATGGCCCAAAAAAAAAGCTGACGGGGATTATAATCCTCACTTACTCTATTCAAAACTAAAAATAAATGTTTTGGCTTCAGCTCTACTTTAAGTATAGGTGGGTGAGTGGTATTGTTGGAGACATGGGCAATGTGACACATTGTTTATAGGCAAGGACTAGGATAGATGAGCCATATCATTATACCCAGGAACAACAAAATGTATGTATGTATGTATGTATGTGTATGTATGTTAGCCGGCGGCATGTCATTACCAGCCGCCCAGCTTCCTGATTTCCTGGGAAGCTGGCTCCACGCTAGCGGATGTACCGGTATTCCATATCGGAAAACCGGTATTGATGCATCCCTTTGTACACACACACGGTCCAGTGGAAGAGGCACTCGTGGGTCTTGTAATGAGGCGACATTTATTAGTGAACATTTGCACAAG